TGTCCAACCTTCCTTCTGAGGAGTGGCTATAGTTGAAGTAAAAGTCACCATCAGCAGATGCTGGCAGCCTATCCGGACAGCAAGAAGCTATGCAACGGAATGCAAGCTGTGATTGTGAACTCTGGCCACTAGGTGGTGCCCTGTGCAGCAGTTTTATTCCCAAGTTTAGAGCCACATGTTGGAAGCTGGTGATCTGGAACCATACTGATGTCCTATTTTCTATCATGCTGCTCTTTCCAGCAACTTCAACATCTGAATGGCCAACAACTAACCACCGAACAGGCTAAGGTCTGGATCAGAAATGCAGAGAATGACTGCAGCATTCCCTGTGGGGACAGGGTCTAAGGCAGAGCAGCACGCTGAAGGAGTGGCGGCTGAGGCCCACTGCTGGCCCCTGGGTCACAGACAGCTCTGCCATGGTCAGGTCGCAGCCCCCCGGGGTCAGTTCCTTCATCTAGAGGAGAAGGCTTAACTAGCTGGGCGACTCTTAGCAGGCCTGCTTGCTGTCCTTTCATGGGGCAGAGACATGGAGGCAGAAAAAAAGAGGAGGCCCCTGCACTGGCTCATCTTTATTGAGCCTGCTGCTAGGCAACCACAGACATGCCTCAATCACGTCCCCTCTTCTCAGCTTCAGGTGCCTGTGTGTAAAACTGGACGGAGGTGTTAAGGAGAAAGGGTTCCAGAGGTCAACTTCCCCCATTCAAGCAGCTGACGTCTATTTTTCAGAGTAAGATGCCATGTAAGGTTTCATTAGACAAACTGGTACCCACTGCTGCTACCCAAGTAAGAACTGGAGAGCCCCAAGTCGATCTGGAAGGCACCTTCTTGCTACTCGCGTATTCTACTCTTAAAGCATTTACCAGTAATAGGACTATGGGTGCAAGAGAACAAATAAATCTGATTCGGAAGAGGTACAGCCGGAAAACCCCTGAGAAGTGAAGATAAACAGATTGTGCTTCCCGTACTTTAGACATGTTCTCAGGAGGGACCAGTCCCTCTCCAGGGGTCAGTGAACAAGGGAAGCCCCCCAACAAGGTGGACTGACGCGGTGGCTCCGACGGGCTCAAGCACAACAATGGCTGTGAGGTGGCGCAGGACCGGGCAGTGTTTCGTTGTGCTGCACACAGGGTCGCTATGAGGCGGAACTAACTCGATGGCACCTAACAGCAACAGTAACAAAAAGAGCTAATCCAAGCCATGCCAAACCTGGAACCATGAAGGAACCATGTGAGACACTGTGACTGCTACTCTGAGGTGGAAAAGCAGGTCCTTAAACCTGCAACCAACTCAGCAAGTTTTCTTTAAAGCAAAGCTGGCTATTCTGACAGACAGACTACACTTAAAATCCAACCCTCGCCTACTAGCAAACAGCAGCTAACAGTCGATTTTACTGTAACATTAACCTGTAAGCATATGTACTAAGCTATAATGCTGCTTTACAAACTCTTCACATTCCCACTGCACTGCAGATCTTAATTGCCAATGTCAATCTTTGGGAAAGAAGGAAATTATATACATTTTCTTAGAACTGAAGAGACAATACTTAAGTGTAGCTTTTGTTTTTCATATAAGTATTCTGGCCATGGCACAAAATCTTACCTAAAGAAAAAACCTCAAAAAACTATTTCTTTACCTCCATTTTTCCATCTTCTCTAAACCTTGCAAGAAAGGTGCTTTCTACTTTGGGCCCCTGATCTCTCTAATGCTATCTCACACAGCCACAGGTTTCAGCTGAGCACTGCTGTCAAAGCCACAACAGCACAAAAGCAGCACCCCGAGAGCCACTGGAAGAGGGGGCTCGCTCCCACTACTAGACAGTCTTAAAGACGATTCTTAACCTCTCTGCCACTGCCGTCCTCATGTGGAAAACAGAAGTGACAGTACCTATCTTGTTACGTGTTTTGTACACACTAAATGAGATGATGTTTGCAAGCGAGTCAACAACGCTCAGCCACAGACGTGCAAGCAGGCACTTGGTACATGACGGAGCCATTGCTTATTAGGCCTGTCTCCAGATTCCAGCTTGAACACAAAGAGATGGAAATGCTGCTAACTTTCAAAAAATTTCTGGAAAGAGATGATTCTAAAGAGTTTTGAAATGATCCCAGGAAAGCAGTCTCAAAGTGGATAAGGCAGAAAGATTCAGAAGACACAGAGAAACTTTTGGTTCTCGATAAAAGTTAAGTACGGTTCAGTTTTCTCCCTAGAAAATGGCAAAGGGAGGGAGAGGGCAGCTACCACAATGGACAAAAGTCAAGCCACCTTTCCCACAATGTCCCACTTCCTTGTACGTGGCCTGTCCTTCAGTATCCACCGCACTTCAGCTGGAGCTCGTTCACGACACTACTGTCTCCTGTGGCCCATTTACAGTGTTCATGTGCTGGAATGAAAGCCTCCACTGTAAGATGGTCACTGAAGCTCCAGTCCTCTCCCACCACACAGCCCCTAGCAGAGCACCCTGCACACCTAGAACACACAAATGACTCCAACGCAAAGTCCAGCGCTCTCATTCTCTGCCCTCAAGGACTCCCAGTTCAAACTAACATGGAAATTCATGAACAACTGATTAACGACGAAACCTAAGCAGATGCCAACACTTCTCCTCGACTTTATTCCACTGTATGACTTGACTGACAAAACAGTGACCAGATTCAAAGAGACTTGATGCTAAGCTACAGCGACATGTTGTGGGTGGCTGCTTTCTTCCCGATTACATATATCCCTAGAAAGTAACTATGGACATGAGTTGCCCACCACAGGAGCCACAAGCCACGTGTGGTGACTGAGCACTGGAAAGAAAGCAGGTCTGTCTGACCTGAGATGTGCTGTTGTGTATAATACACATTGGATTCCAAAGATGGAGTTCCTTAAAGAACGTAAATTATCTCAATGTGTTTTACACTGATTAATGTAGAAATAACATTTAAATGCATTAAGTAAAATAAAACACATCATTAAATTAATTTCACCAACTTCTTTTTACTTTTTTAATGAAGCTACTGGAAAATTCAAAAACCCGCCGTGGCTGTGACATGTGGCTCACGCTGTATTTCTACTGGCCAGCACTGTTCTGCGCAGTGAATTTTACAGTCCATGTGCCTCCCAACTTGCTGTCCAGTCAAGCTGCTGCCGAGATGAGAACCCCTCACCAGGGCGTCGTCACTACCACTGCTTGAGAGGAAATGCTCTGCGTGTCACACTTAGACACACACGTGCTTTGTGAGAATTACAAAGATCCTCTTAACACCTGGTATACCTGAATTCTCCTGAAGTTAGTATTTCTGTGCCGCATTCTAAACTCATTCATTTTTACACCCTGTGCAATACCATACAATTTTGAGTGGCTTCTCCTGGAAACAACTGCTTCCGGGGCAGCAATCAGAGAAAGGTGTGCACACAGGACCGCCTTCCTCGGCAATGGCCCCGAGCAGCAGGACGGCTGGTGAGTGAGTCACTGGGGACGAGTCTTCCAACACTTACCACTGTGACCTATCACTTAATGCTTCAGGGCAGAGGGTTAGCTGCTTTAACACAAAGAATGAAATTCAATCATCTCATCTTTTCCATGTGTTACCTACTTCAATTCTGTTTTGCTTTATCTGTGAGTTCCATGTTTGCAAAATTCTGCAGTGCAGAGTAATAAAGAAAGAAAAATGTTTAATTAAAAAAAACCACAGCAACTTGCTGGCTATCATTATTCATTTTCATATGTGTCATGCTTGAGAAAGCTTTGCATATTTTAAAAAGCTATGGATCCACTAAAGCTGTCAAAATCCAATCTCTGTACACTTCACACTTCTACATCTGAGTAAATCAGCACTACATTTATAGGTTCATAAAACTTTTTGACTCATCCCGGTGACACGGTGGTTTTTCCCCTCAATTTGTTCTCATTACCAGCTGAAGTTAATGAGAAGGTACTGAAGAATGATGAGAGAATTATGTTTCTGCTTCAGGGTGTCGGCACCAGGTACCCTGACATCCTTTCTCTCCTAGAATGTGGCTTCTCAGAATAAAGGACTAGAAGCAAAGACGTTTCTCTTTCTGTCAGCAGACAATACGCACTAGTTGATTTCAAAATGAAAACATGGAAACTTCAGCATGAATCTGAAAAAGGACCACAGGAAACCAATATTCATTCTATTCGTTGACCTAACTGTCTGGAAATTTAACACCTTATGCCCGCTCTCAGAACAGACTATCTCCCCTGAAAGTCACCTGAGCAGCATTAACACGTGGAAAGGACTATGAAAAAAATAAACATGTTTTTTCCCTATATTTTAAACCACAGAATAAAATTCTTCATTTGAAAACAAAGGAAAAGGAGTCAACTGTCAGTGTTCCTTGTGTGGGACAAGCTCCTCTTATTGCAGGAGCACCAACACACCCAAGTTCTAGTTCATGGTTAGAGTTTTGTGAGACGAGAGAGAAAAAGGAAGGGAATCTCCGACAAGGCCACGCTGAGGACGAACACTGACTGACTTACAGGCAGCAAGTTGTCCGACCTCAGTCAGGATGCTCTACTTACTTGGAGGGTAAGGAACAGCAGTCCTTCCATCCTTCCCAAGAGGCCGGTCTTCCGTCCCAACCGCAGGCATTTTAGATGAGCGTGGTGCAGGTGATGCAGCCTGGAAGACATGACTTCTGTTACAACAGAGCAGCACACCTGTCCCCAAGGACGGTGGTTGCCAACCACGTCTCCTGTACGTCTATTAAACTCTCAGTAAGAAAGGGCCCATGGCTTCCTGCACAGTCTTCACAGGGCAAGCTCCTAGAAATGCCAGCAGCAAGTGAGACAACAGAGCCGGCTGCAAACTTATCAAGCAGGGGACTCCAAGTGCTTGTGCCTTTTCTCTGTGGACCTGAGGAGGGCAGACCATGCCCATGCAAGTAGGGCCTGTACACCTTCAGCAAATCCTTCCACCCCAGTCACTAGAAGAGCCCTTTCCAGACTCCCTCATATGAGGGTGGTGCCTCCAACCAGACTTGGCAACGGGTCTGGTTTCCCTCTGTTTGGCTCAAGACCTCCAAAGCTAGTAATCTTCTCCTTTCACCATGACAAGCCATGATCTTCTAAACCTATTTCAGCAGTTATTGTTCGTCTTCACAAAAATAACCTTACCATATAAAATTACTGACATATACAGGAGGGCCTTCCCTGATCTGGTGTTAACAGTCCCTTACAGGCAAAGTATCTTTAAGAATTCAAACGAATTAAGGGAGAAAAGAAAAAGAGGATCATTCCAAATAGAAGGACTTTGGTTCTATTTATTTTACAGTTATACCATGTCAGAGAATGGAAATATAAAATTAAATTCAAAGACATGTGAGATGGAACCCTGACAAATGCCAACTCCAGTTCCCAGTGAGATGAATTAGCCAACGACTCTAAGACAGACTGCTCACAGGATGAAACGTTAGGCTACAAGTCACAGGAAAGCAGAACACTCCTTTCAGAGAAACAAAAATTAGATTTAAGATGTCCAGTTGTCCTTTGCCGATTGGTATTACTAAAAACATACTCTGAAACCTAGCCCAACAGCCAATCATAATTTATGAAGAAGCACTACAAGGGCTCAGGATAGAGGTGAGGCGTCACCAGGGATGGTGGCTATGAGTAAATTGGCCACTCCACACCACCTGTTCTTCTCCCATCCTCTGTCCTCCATCCCCCTCTATCTGCTCTGTGACTCCTTTTCTATTTGTTCTTTGTTCCTACCCTGCCCACCAAAGATCTGTCCTAACTTGTAAGTATCCTAAGGCAATCTGTGGCTTGAGGGAGACAGACGCATTCAGAAAGGCCTCCAATGCCTGGATCAGCAACAAGGACATTTGCCATTTCTTTTCCACCAAAGGGTTTCACACTGTCATGTCCCTCTCATGTCCTCACGTCACACATTCAGGTCCTTGTGTTTCAATACAACCAGATTACCAGACAGTAGTCCTGCTTTCTGCCAATAAGAATGACTTTAAAAAAAAAAACAACAAAAAACTAGAACTTGCCCCATCAGGTCAGTTCCATACCTGCCCACACCTAGCAGCCATCAGAGAACACACTACAGGTATACTATAGTTGGAAGTTCAAAGGTCTGAGCCTGCCCAAAAGTCTTCTGAACCCCCTTTCTCTCTTCCTAGAAAACAGATCAATAGTCTGTTCACTGTCCCCCAACATCCTTTTAGTTCATCGTTGGTATCAAGGCTCAGACAAGCCTCAAACAAGGGTCCCTCCTTGCCTTTCTCTGACCCATCATTTTCTACATTGCAAGTCAAACCCATTGTGTGAGGCCATTATGGACTCATTGTCTCTGAAATACCCGTAACACGAATGGTGTATATTATCTGTGAAGCAGATACATTTTATTTTAAAGTGACTGTGCCTCACCAATGTGATTGCTCCTCAGCCCTCAAGCCTTACCTTCAACAGTGCTTCCCTGTCACTTTGTACTTGAACCTACAGCATCTTTAGATTCAAGTCTATCACTACAGACACTGCAGTAAGTATACTGCAACCTTATGGACATGTTATTTCTCCTTAAGTCAGTGAGTACCTCAAGTTTAAGGGGGTAATTTAATCTTATCTGTAACCTCAATGGCTAGGTGTAGGACTCTTCACAAAGGAACTGATCATCAAATAATTAACAACGCATATAAAGTGGATTGGTGGGGAAAGCTAAAGAAATCAATGAAAGAAAGAAAAAATAAGTAAGCTGACATCCTTGAAAAGAAGGTCTGTCTTACTCATCTCTAGGCTGCCAGAAATAAATGGGCACTTAACGTAGTTGTACACGAATAACGGATGAATTACACAGGTTTTTTGCAAACCACACAACCCCCTCACATGTTAGTTTCCTAGGTGTGCTATGTGCATTACTTACATAGGTGTGCTTTACATGGAAAAAATACGGCCTATTTGCCCAAAGAACAGAGGGGGCTAGGAGGACAAGGACCCCGATTTCCAGACTCAGCCCAGCCATTCTCTGCAGAATCAGTTCTTCTTGTCTGTCACTTCAATCATGATGTCCTGTATCCTTTAACTTCTATGTGTATAAATTCTACTTCCTTTCAATGATGCCGCCTTCCTAAAACACATCTATTAGATTTGCATGATACAGCTCTTGGAATGCAGACTGACCTCTGACCTCTGAGATAAACAAAAAGTTGTATGCGCATTTCTAGAACTGACCTGGCGGGACTACATAGCAAGTTTCTATCAGTCCCATGGGATTTAGGTCTTATTAAAATAAGCATGAAAAGTGATGATCTTTACAACAGGAGTAACACTAATGAAAAAGGTCATCAACAAAATCCAACAGGCAGAGATACTACACTGGTAAGGCTGGGAATTCTCAGTAAGCCAGCATGTTTTAAGAACTCTCAACACCTGAGATAAGAGCTCCCAAATGCAATAGCTGAAACTACAAAGAGACACTGCAGCGATGTCATAAAGTCCTTCCTTGCTGGGTAATCTCTGTATGGGAAGCAATGGCAGACTCACCCCAAGTTCGTCGTCATCAGAATTATCAAAGATGTTGTCTAAGTCATGCAGGGAAGGTGCCAAATCTGTCACCTGCGTAAGGCTACTGGAGCCAGCTCTGCCAGCAGCGTTATCCTGCCGGACATCTGCGGGAAAGGAGGCAGAGGGACCAGAATGAGCGGCTTCGCCGAGGGACGGGGAGTGAGGGGAGGACAGGGGTCTCAATGCACGCGCCCTGCCTGGGAATACGTTCCCTGCAGTTTTAATTCAATTTACAGACTGTTATTTCCAAATACATCTATCAGTTTGGAAAGGAACTGAAAAACAATCTATGAAAAATGGACTAAAGATGAAGTCAAATCATTGCTACTGCAATAAGCATATAATCTAAAACTGAGAAGCATCGCCCTTACATTTTATCTTAGCAACAATCCAAGTGAGGCAGATAATCATTGTACACACCTGTTTTAGTAGCAGAACTGAAAATAGACATGGCATTTTTCCCATCAGGCACCGGCGTGGAATGACCTGGTGTAGTGACATCCTTGGTACCAAATCCATCCTCTGACTGTATAATAAATTCAGCCAAACAAAACACATGAACACCAACCCAAAGTGTGGGATATGAGGGAGAACACAAAGAATTAGAGGGAGAATGGAACGGGTTATGAGCACACGTATGATCAACCATGGTCTATGCCACCAAAGGAAACAAAGATGCCCTTTTTCCTGAATGTGCACAGAACCGAGAATGCCCCCACTTCTCCCTGAACCCAATGGGACACTGAGTACATCAGGGTTTCAGGCCCAGATGGCAACTGGGAGCTTTGGATTACGGACTGGTCACGGTGTTAAAAGCTGCCTTTTGTGACATCTTAGATGCAGAGCTGTGGCTCATGCTTTCAGGATCTAAACAGGCCTTTGTAAGGGAGTCCATGAAACATCCCTGGACTAAACTGGCCTCTCTTAATTGGCTTCTTCCCTCTACTCTCAAGACCACTCTGAAGGACCCAGCATTTCACAATGTCTCAGAGTGCAGCCTAAAGACAGCAGACACGACCAGTACTGATCGGCACAATGATGGAACCAGTAAAATTAACACTAAATGTCAGTGAGAGACATAGGTAAAGCGCTCAGTAAACACAGCAAGCGCTCAATAAACAGGAGGTAGTGCAAACTGTTTTCTCTTGCCATTTCAAGTATTTTTGAATATACTTATAGAGAAATAAGCATGGAGCATAGGCCAACGAGAATTAGCGTATGAGAGGAAACATGCGTCAGAGGAGCTATGGCCTGGGAAACGTGAGGCTTCACTGATGCTCGGCTGACTTTTAAACAAAGGTGAGCCATGACATAAAGAGGGACACCACGCTGTTCAGTACCATAGTACCAAGAGCATGAACATGGGGGCAGAGCAGTCAGGCGAGACTATCGCAAACATTCTGCCTCAGACGTCTTCCTGCACGTGTTGTGTCGCCATAGACAAAAACCCACATCATGCATGACTCGCTCCAGGTCAAATGGTACCTTATTCTTTTTCAGGGAATCTTTCTCTGTCCCTTGCTTGCATTTCTTGTTTGCTGTGAAGATGTATTTTATGTCACCATCCTCAAAGGTGTATGGGTCATTGACTTCTCCCAAACTGTCCCCAGGTTGTTGGCTTAGAGGCAACGGGTCAAGGATGTGCAGTGGCTGCATCTGGGGCTGCTTGTCTTGCCAGATTTTGAACCGTTTGTTAGGTTGTGCTAAGAGTCTGAAAGGGAAAATAAATGATGACTGAAGCAACATTAACAAGGTGAAATGATTAGAAACAGAGCTACACCTGTGATCAGAAGTGTTCATAAAGCTTAAACTAAAAAGCACATCTACTTAGTGGTGTTCTTTCAGATGTAATATTCACAATTAAATACATCTCAGTAGGCTTTGCCAAGGATACGGTTTTTCCCTCTGATTCCATGGCTCTGGGGACAGACTCCCCGTGTTCAAATTCCATCCATGTCATTTACTAACTGTGACCTCAGCATCTCAGCTATGAAATTAGGATAATAATATGGTTTTGTTAGAGATTAAGTGAGATAATCTATGTAAGGTGTTTATAATAATGGGCTGCTCAGGAGTGCTATTAAGCATCCCGTGTTCTTACCAGATGCATGCTGCGTACCCGAATGCACGCAAAGCCTTCCTCCCAACTGTCAGCCTACAAAGGAGGAGCTCACAGCAGTAAGGAGAGACTCAATACAGACAGAGGTAGGTTGTGTGATTAAAAAAACAGTAGATTTAAAAAAAAAAAATCATACTAAGACGCCACAAGGAGCCTTTCAGTGTTTCAATAACCGCACGTATTGCAAGAAGGACAAGGCATCTGACTACTAAGCAAGTCCTCTGCGTGCAGTCTGGGATGGCGAAGCAGCCCACCTCGTCAGCTCTGAGTGTCAGTGGGCGCAGCTAAGGCCCTGGTGCTCAGGCACCTGAGCCCTGGGTGGGGCCTGAGGCCGCGCAGGAGCGGCCTTACCTTTGCAGTGCCGTGCTCTCTGCGTTCACCTCCATTTTGGTATCACATCTCTCACCCTGGAGCTCTGGAGGCCTGAACTCAGCATCATCACTGGCAGGGAGACAGTAACTGTGCCACCACTTATCTGAGGACTCCGGGTTTGAGGGCCTGATCCCACAATATAAGGCCGTCTCGCTGACCTCTGCCATCAGAGGCAGTCTTTGGCCTACGAGGACAGTTCTGTCATCCAGAGTGGATAACTGCTGCAGCTCTAGCCCATTTCCATAGAGGGCTGGATTCACAGGGACAGACGGGGGGTCCAAACTCTCTGTTTCCTGACCCCGTGGCTGTGGGCTGAGTGTTGGCGGCAGAGGGGAAATAGGGGAACGAGGAGAATCCATAGGATTCAGATCCATCTGCTTGCTTGTATTTCTGGAAGGCACGGCCATTTGCTTATCATACTTCCTGCTGCTGGACACCTCTAAGGAGGAGTCTATCCCCGCCAACCCCAGCTTCTGCCCTGCTGTATCCTGCTCCATGCATAACTCTTCGGCCACAGACGGCCTATGGTGAAATGGTATCAAAGGTCTCTTTTGCAACTTGTCTCCTTTTTCCTGTCTTTCTGTTGTTTTGTGCTTAGAAGCAGCAGGAGGTGGTAAAGATGAAGATGATGATGGTCCTGCACTGAGCCCTGGTTGATTTATTGTGAGAGGTCGACTGGGTCCTACTGCACAACGTTTTAAAAGTTTATGCCTGAAATGAGAATTAAAATAAAGTCAACAAACACACAGATGAAAACGACTGCATCAGCTAAACATCATAAAAGAGATGTCTTTCATGGGTTATGTCATTTTCAGCTACATCAGATGCACTAATACAGCTAACAGAACTCCAGGTTTTAATTAAATATAATTAAATATATGACTAATTATGTGTTAATGTAAATAAGTATTAAACTATGTATATTAACTTAATATAGAGAATTAAATATAATTTCATTTTAAAGAACCATTTAAGGAATGCAACATACCCTGATAAACAGTGGTGATGCATCTATCACACACAAGTTAAGCAGACAGGAGAAGAACTTAGCAAGAAGGGTAAACTACAAGACTGCTAACCCCTACATAAGGACTGATTGGAAAATTTCCAAATCCTTCAAATTTGACAAAGGCCTCAGATAACCTATTCATCCTACATCTGAAATCATGAGACTGTCTACCCCCCCAAAAGCTCTGTAATTCCTATACAGAACACTCTACTAACTGTAACACAAAATGACTGACAATGGCTTGTCGTGTTGTAAACCAGAAATAAAATATTATGCAATTCCCTCCTGATGCGAAACTAAGATGATGGGTCAGTCCTAACAACATTTGAAAGGATAAGTTGATTCAAGACTTCATGTGCCACTATTATCTAAGGAAGAAGGAATGAAAGACAACTTTGAATCCTACAGACACATGTTAAAAGGAGACAGAGGTAAAAGGTTGTGAGTGACAATTAAGACAATACATGTACACAAATGCACTTGAGCCATGAAAGCAGGAACAGCAAGTCTGCTCACATCCTAACACACTTCTTGCAGGAACAGCAAGTCTGCTCACATCCTAACACACTTCTTGGCGAGCATGAGTATGAGAAATTGCTCAGCCGATGATGCCAAGGTTTAATCTGTGCAACAAAGTTATATAGTAGGTCAACCACATCTTCCCACTATACAAATCACTGCCAGGGAAAAACGTAAGCTTTCCTGCTGGTGGAGCAGTAACTCTCTGAGGCCACTGGGGTGGCATTAAATTACCGCTGCATTGCGCTCAATGATGCCCTAGTGGGCAGTCAAATGGATTTGTGTGGCATAATGGGATGGTTTAGTGGGACAGCAGGATGGCCACCCTGCCCCATAAGACCATTAAACAGTGTGAGGAGTAGGCCATCCCATTATGGGTTTGGTAATCCTGTAGGAGATAATCTCAAAACACTCTAAAAAAAATCCTGACTTCAGAGAAGGCTGTCTTCGCATAAAGCTATTGATGATTCAGCCAAGAGCGTACTCTTAAGTACCAAAGGCACAGTGCTGCAGGGTCTAGGAACCTCTCCTCTGACAGTAACTCCAGAAGGTCTTCTCAGGGTACACATTTTGAAACTGAAGCTTCAGAAGTCTTCGACATTAAACTTTCTGATTTGGACTTTCTCAGAGAATATTTAACCGCACTAAAATATTTTCTGGCTGCCTTTTCCAAGTAAGGACTTTTTCGCAAGTGGCTAATCTTACAAAGTCGGTATTTCCAACTGTACTTCCCCACTCAGCTACACTGTGAAATGGTTATCATTAAGAATAAGCCAGCAGGTAACAGACCACACCACCAATCTCTACACAGGAAAGGGCTAGGACTGAAGCTGGATATAGGAAGACCACAAAGGACTGGGGTGTGAAGGAGCCAAGTCATCCAGAAACACGGCGGCCAAGAGGAGGGGAAGAGAGCGCACAGAACAGACATTTTCAAAGGAAGTCACTGAGAAAGGCGGTCACAGATGAAATCTAGAAAATGAAGGGAAAAAATAAGGCTTCTGAGCTGAGAAAACTGTGTGACAAAAATGACTGAAACAGGGTACAGGGTACCTGGTTTGTGGGGAAAAGACATGTCAACATGAACAAGATTTCTGAAAAGCAGACCCCAACAAACAAACACATGAGACCAGAGTACACGCGAACAGTCAGTGTGCAGGTCGGTATCCGGAACGGTGGCCTGGTGTGCAGAGCTTCGAATCAGACCAGAGACTCCAGCAAGAAAATGTTAAAGGACAATTGGGGGCTTTATTGGGTTTATACCTGAGGTGTTCCCCCAAAAAAGAAATTCAAAGGAGCTAATAAAAATGTAATACAGATCAATAAACAGGTTATTTTTAAAAAGAAAAAATAATCTAGATCAAGAAAAAGAACAGGAAAGAGTAAGACGAAGGTACAAGTGAAGTTTAGTCTCTCCATTGAGATCCTATGCACTTGCTAAAGGTGGACCATGACTCACTCAGCTGTGAACATTTTCAAAATCAACGTTAACAGAAAAATAGTTTTTGTTCCATAAGTCACAACAGCTTAGAGACAAAACTAAAACAAATATTCCACTGTAGTATACTATTTTTATCCCAAGATCAGAGAGTATTCTCACATCCTTAGAGAAAGAAAATCCATTACCACCAAGTTGATTCTGACTCCTAATGACCCTGTCAGAGAAGCCCACAGGGTTTTCAAGGCTGTAAATCATTATTGGAAGCAGACTGCCTCATCTTTTTCCCCACAGAGTGGCTGATGGGTTTGAACTGCCAACCTTATGGTCAGTAACTGAGTTTTAACTACTGAACCACCAGAGCTCCTCCGTCCTTAGAAAAATTTGGAGACTTAATGAGCAAACAACTTCTTCAAAAACACCCTCCCAGAACAGTCAAGCATGGACCTTCCTTAGGCTGATGCTTGCAACTTTTCAACAAGAGGTTGACTCCCAAGGCAGAGCCTGAAGAAACAGAATCAACTTAGAGGGGCGAACAGAAGGAGGGTATCAAACTATTCTACTGACTAAAAGCTCCAGTGCCCACACATAGGCCTGCATATATTCTCAGGGGTATCTGAATCACCTTCCCACCCTGGAGTCCATTCGCTCAGGCCACGTTAAGAACCTCTGATCTAAACCAGAGGAGCAGATGGCTGACTTCTGAACATACATCTCTCAACAGAACTTAAATTGAGCAAGACCCAATTCAAACACACACAGCTTAGAAGCAGAGCTAGTCTAAGCTGTCCATCCATTACATGAAGATTCATCACTACACGTTCTAACGGTCAACTGAGCTGGGGGTGAGGCAGACATCCACTTAAGAAGTTTAAGAATCCTGAAGAAGGCTCATGATAGAACAGGATTCTTAACCACCACAAGGAGTGGGAGTCAAGAAACTATCCATGAGGAGCACAAAACTTTCCTTCCAACAAAAAGCTACTCAAACATTAAGTGGATGAGCAGGCAAGAAACCATGACAACAGCAATTTGAGCAAATTTTAGCAGGTTTCACCCAATATCTACTTCAGTCATCAAAACACATCATCACCACCACCAACCACAACAAAAAATAAATTCTCTCTAGAAGGTCTACTTACTCCAAATTCTATTTAATTCATGTCTACCTGTTTGCAAGATGGCAAATTTAGAGTCGTTAAAGTAATTTAAAAGGAAGGATACTGTCAAACCAGCACCTTTGGTTGTGAAGTAGCTAACCTGCAGAAATTTGCCAGCAAGATCCGCTAACAGGGCCACTAACAGGGCCAGCTGTCGAATAAGCTGCTTTCCGAGTCCTGACAATGTGACAGCATCATCTGCATGTAAGAAAAGACTGCCCTCTTCCTCCTCTACTGGAGAGAAGGAAAGATAAAAAACAAAAGCAAAACACAGACAGGAAAGAAGTGGTCTGAGAGGCCTGGAGAAGAGCCAGCCACACGGGCCATCACTCCGTCCCTATAGCTGTGCCTTTTGACTACCCACCTGGAACAAGAACAGCTAACTCTCTGGGTTGGATCCACAAAATCCCAGGTAGCAGGATTGTTAGCAGGCTCTTCTTCAAGAGTTGGAGTTGACATCTGGCTCCTCCTGAAAGGGTTGGAAACGTGACTCATGGTAAACAGCAGATCATGCTTATGCTCTGGGGGGAGGGGCATTACGAGGCATGAATGTGTGACATGTAGTGATGGCACCCTGCTGCCATACCCAGAGCAGCCAAAGTAACAAGCCACCACTGTCCCAGGCACCAGAAAAAGCAGCATTCTTTTCGTAAAATTTAGCGTTTTAACATGGGTGGCATACACAGGACTTAACACAGCATCTAGCACTCTTAGTTGTTGTTTTAAAAAAGAAAAAAAGCACCCTAAATTATGTAGAAATAACCTAGAAAATTAAGGAAAAAATTAACTTTCCACAGCATCCATACATTGCAGCCCTGTGACAGACTGTTTAAATCACTTGCGATGTTCCTCTAATATCTACTAGCATTCAAGGACAGTGCTCCACCACTGTTACAGCAACTCAAAGAGAAAAGATGGAGGTTCCCCACATGTCACTGATAACTGGCTGCAAAAAGCAGATGCCCACAATCCACAGGGACGGCCAGGCCGCAGGTGCCCGCCGCCCCCAGGGACGGCCAGGCCGCAGGTGCCCGCTGTCCATGGGGATGGCCAGGCTGCAGGTGCCCGCCGCCCTTGGGGATGGCCAGGCCGCAGGTGCCCACTGTCTGGGGATGGCCAGGCTGCAGGTGCCCGCCACACACAGGGATGGCCAGGCGGCAGGAGCCCGCCATCCATGGGGACAGCCAGGCTGCGGGTGCCCACCACATACGGGGATGGCCAGGCTACAGGTGCCTACCATCCATGGGGACAGCCAGGCAGCAGGTGTCCACCATCCATGTAACAGCCAGGCAGCAGGTGCCTGCCACACAGAGGGACGGCCAGGCGGCAGGTGCCCACCACACACACAGACAGCCAGGCAGCAGGCAGTGTATGGAGTGGCTGGTCTGGCCACAGCTGACCCCACCAAGTGCTCAAAGGCAGCTACGCAGGGAGCTCCTGCCCTCCACCCTCCCCAGCCTCCTTGGTGTGTCTCAACCCTGCTCTGTGCTGCTGACAGAGGGACTGGTGGAGGTGAAAGGTTGAGGGTGACAAAAATCAAAGAAAATGTTAACCTGGAAATTATCTAGGAACTGTCGATAGAAGTGAAAATATTCTGGATCGATTATATCGATTATTCCAAAGGAAAGGCTTTCTTTAAGCAACCAGAGATGTCTTTTTAATTCTAGAAGGTGACATGTGATTTTCAATGGCAATGATTTTAGATTTTATCTCCTACTTCTTCTGCAGCCTACTCTAAAACCGATCCATCGGGAATAAATATACAGCATGAATGTGCTAAAAGCTTGGTCCAAAGGACAGGTTTTAACTCTGTACATAAAAATGTGAACAGGAGCTGCTTATGTAACGTGTCACTGACTTCCAAACGAGCAGAGATATGGGTAGTTATTGACAAGGATGCCCACAGGTATTCTGTTCCAGAGAATCAAAACTTGTCGGTTTACCCAGATCCGCCAAAAGTAGGCATCTCACTCATATTATGAACAGATAAAAAAATGTACTGACTATTTTTACATATAATCTTGATGAGCGGAACAGCTTTTATGGACTATTATTTGTCACTTGCATTTAACAATTAAAAGAATCCTAAGTAGTCTGTTCTTAGAATCATTTCTCCCCCTTTTCCAAAAATAAATTAAGAGAAATAAGGTAGGCTGGTCAATGGTCGAGCAGAGCACCCTGAATCAACACGGAGCACAGCAGCTACCTTGCCCTCTAACAGTCATCAGCTCAGCTCAGCTCAGATTCTATTTCCAACTAAAATGTAAGGACAGTGGACAAAACATAGCAAAGAACGCCACTTCCCTTGTAGTCAGAACATTCATAACCTGATACACAAAGGACACCAAACCCACTGAGAACGGCCTGGCACTCAGGCTGCACCTCTGAGCCATCAGGGTGACCACCATGGAGACGATCATCACGCCTACCTTCCGACGACCAAGACCTTCAACAAGTCCCTGGATAATCCCACTGAGAACAGCAAATGCTTTTAACTTGAACATCTTTGTGTTGAATTTTATTTTGTGACATTCTAAATAGATGAAAAGGCCAATCCAATGACCTCTCAAGTTTGAGAGGCTACTATACCGTGACCCACACATAATCCAAAAGACATACTTGGACTGGGTTCTGTTGAGGATGCATTCCTTCCAGACTCGATGGACCATGTGATTGTGGAGTTTTGGAGGAATCTTCCCCGATCTCTTTGGACTGTGCATAGTTATCATCCCTCCCTCTTGGGAAACCAGGTGACTGACAGCACTCTGCGTACCTCCACTCTCACCTGGAAAAGAAAGACAATTTGGAATGACAGAATTCTCTAGAAAGGCCTTCCGGTGCATAGACAGCTGGCTTATGTAACATCGATATGCATTTTAATTGTTAAAACTCATTCCTGTAGCGTTGCTCCTACCCCTGGACACCCCCACTATCTGCGGCTATGAGTATGCACTGTGCACTGTGTCTCTGTGTGCTTCCTGAAGTTGCTGCCATCATCACATCCACACTCACACACAGAATCCACAAGATCTGCAGAGATGGTCCTATTTCACAAGTCTTGGACACATGTAACAAACAAGGGCGCATGTCACAATATTAAAGATGGGAACATAGCTGGATGTCTGAAATTAACAACAAATACGCTGAAGACAGGACTGAGCAGTAGAGGGAGCTTTCTGCTCATGTATGTGAACGGTTGTGTAACTCCACACAGCGCCTAGAACAGGAGAACGATGTTAAGTAGGTGAATGGCTGTGTAACTCCACACAGCGCCTAGAACAGGAGAACGATGTTAATGGCATGAAGCTTTCAACAAGGTCAAATTTCAAATTTGTGTGCAGAACTGTTTGTCCTTACGCCTGACACTATTTATGAAAGCTTAGCACTAAAACACTGAAAGAGGTTGTCTTGACATTTTATACAGAGCATTATGAATCCACTGGTTTCTCTACTGACTCTACTTAGATTTTCCAAAGACAGCTGGTATGAAATTAATTCTTTTCCACTCGGCCCACTATGATTACTGATAATATTGGCTATTAGTTACTGTATGAGTATTTACTAATACAACATAAATACTAAAGTCAATTTCCATTAATAAATTCATCATTGTATTCATCTATTTGATTTAATCAATATATTGCTGGCTTTATTCTCAGCAGAACATGATACAAACATCCGTACAGAAATAATCAATCTCAAGCTTCATGGAAAACCTCCACTCTCACCTGAAGGAGACAGACGTCATCGCTTGCGCCATAAACTAAGTATTTTTAACAATGAAAGAAAAAATCCCAGATGCTTAATGTTTGGAGGAACTGAAGCTTTCTTGTTCCCCAGAAAAGTATCATTATATTAAAATGAGATAAATTAAAAGATACAAGAAATTTGGTCTTTCACTGCTACCTTTTATTTTTAAAGTTTCCAGAGTTGGTTCATGCTATAAAATATTTCAGTTTTACAACTGATTTTTAAATGCCTACTATGAAACAAGGCAAAGTGAAAAAAGAAACAGAAATAGGTAACCTAGCCCTTCTTTCCCCAAATATCCTACAGTGTAGCTAAAGAGATCAAATGCCCACGGCATCATAAAGGGATAGTTTATGATCAAAAAAGAAAGGGGCTGGAGAAAACAAGGCAAAGAGACTTTTCTGATTAAAGTTAGGTTAATGCTTTCAGGAGGAATTACAAAAGGCTCGTTGTAGTTATGTTGTTAAGTGTATGTGGAATGTTGTTACCCTAATTATCTCCACACATCAAGCAGGAGAGGAAAGCTGATGTCCCTATCCAGGTGAAGGTTTGAGAGTGATTTCACTGATGGTATCCAGGTGAAGGTTTGAGTGATTTCACTGAAACAAGCTGATCTCCTAGGCACCCTGCAATCTAAGAGACTCATGGCCATGTCAGAGAACAAACTAACCCACTGTAACTACAGGCAGGAAATCACGGCGATGCTAAAAGCTAGTCCACCACAGAATGGAAGGCTGAGTAGGACTGTCTTGGATGCAGCATTAAGGGTCCTAAACCATGATCCAACATGCTACGATGAGAAAACTGAGGCAAGTTCCTTGTATCCACTACAAAGCTACCAGCAGCTTTTTATTTAGAGTTAAATGGGGCATCAGGGGACTTACCCAGGACTTGGCACATATAGAGACTTAAAGGGAAAGGAGTTTACAGATGCACGGTTATGAATCCACAGTGAAAGCCACAATCAACAAAACCTCTTATTTGTAGGACTGTGAATTTGATAACTTGTACCCGCCGTTCAGAGGTCGGCACTAGAGCAAAAGCGCCAAGTACACAGCAGGCCCTCAAGTCTCAGTCGCACACAAATTTCACCAAGCACCAAGCAAAACAGAAACAATCAAAATAAACCGGTATCTTAAAAATTTAGTGTCACTATTAAAAATCCAAACTCTGGTATGAAATGTGGTAAAACTTTTAAAAATAATATTGGGAAGTCCAGTTTTTTAATTAACGTATCTCCCTGATGATGATCACTATAAAAGTCCATGAAAAATTAGTTCAAGTCTAAAGGACCACAAACCACACCTCCACTAGCCTGAGACCAGAACTAGATGGCGCCCAGCTACCGCTACCAACCATTCTGATCAGAATCACACAGGTCCCGAACAGAGTGGGAGAAGAACGTGGAATGAGATTCAACGTCATATTCAGAAAACCAAAAAAAGATTTCTCCTGTTGCATTGTAGATATTGCAAGGAGTATCACAAAACAACACGTGTATGAACTACTGAATAGAAAACCAAATTCCTCTGTAAACTTTCACCCAAATTACAATACAATGTTCAAACACAGTTTAAAAAAAAACAACTATGAAAGTGTAGGTTATTTTAATGTCCAGTTAAAATAATTTTAACCAAAACGGCTCATTTGGAATTCTACCACATGGAATCACCCAAATTCTCTGCTATGCCACATTAAGGGAGCTCTGGTGGCGCAGTGCCTAAGGCTTTTGACTGGTAACCAGAAGGCTGGCGGTTCAAACCAAACCCGCCAGCCACTCCTCAGAAGGAAGAAGGTTGGGCAGGCAATCTACTTCGTAGAGATACCGCCTCGGAAACCCAAGGGGTCGCTAGAGTTGGGACCAACTCGATGGCAGTGAGCTGATTATGCCATTTTAAAGCTGCACACACATCTTTTTTTTTTTTCCCCAAGCATCTCAGGAAGTAGGTGCTTCCTTCAAACCAGAGACTAGGTATGGCCCACTTCGGCATCTCTCACAGGACAGCTGAGTAACTCCTCTCAGATCACTTCAAGATGTGGGCCGACACTGGAGTGCTGAGCGCGGCTCTGAATGTCCTGAACTACCATTTGTATACTGACTGCTCCACTGTCCACAAAGCATTTTCAAACACGTTACCTCAGACGCATAACCACCCTGTACAGTATGTACTATTTAATAGAAACCGAGATTCAGAAAAAGTATGAGAATTAAATAAGGCCCCTCAACTGCAAGCAATGCAGCCAGGTCTGAAAAGAAGGCACGCTCACTCACAAAGCCCACACTTTTCCTCAGTATATTCTCCGTCCATGAGCATTTACTGACTATTCACCATGTACCAGTACTGTGCCGCAGACTTCGAAATCCTCATGAAAATTCCCATGCCTGATCGTTTGTTTTCAAAGTTATGCAGTAAAGGCTTGATTTATTCTGATGTTCCCACAAACATGGCCCATAGTAAATGCCCAAACAATCTCATTTTAGCTCAGATAAGACAATTATCCTTTTCTTCATGACCAAATTCTCAATTAAAATTAGTTCTTCAACAACTACAACAAAAAAGTTAACAGAGGCAAAATAATGCTCAAAAAAAGGTGGCAAAATGCTACCAATTTAAACTGTTCCTGAATTTCTACAAGAAGGATGACTGTTGGAGTTGTCAAAACTTTCCATGTAATTAATATTTACTATTAATGCAGACAGATTTCTGACAAAACAAAGCATTTACCCAGAGCTCCTAGATCTCCTGAAATGCTACAAAATACGTCAAACCAAAAAAAAAAAAAACCAAACCCACTGTCATCGAGTCAATTCTGACTCACAGTAACCTCCATTGGGTTTCCAAGGCTGTAAAATCTTTACGGAAGTAGATTGCCTCACCGTCCTCCCTTATAGCAGCTGGTGGGTTTGAACCACTGACTTTATGGTCAGCAGCTAAATGCCTTTCCCACTAGGCACCAGAGCTCCTTCAATAATATGGTAGAGAACAAGTTACCCCAAGCGTGGCCCTGGCTGCCAACAGCCATCGAGGCAAAGATGATGGTCATTCCATGATACAGAGCTTCCAAGTGTATAAAGGACAAGCTTCATGCCATCTCCTGCCACTGTGTGTAAACCAGAAGGTGCATGTATGTGCAGAAGAAGAGAAATAACTAAAGTGTTCAATTAGGGCAATAAATAATGCAGGCACAGTTAAAGTTCTGAAGCACATAAACTCTGTTTAAAATTTCTCTTTTCTGTTCTGTAAAATCCCTCTCTACTCTACCTCCATCTCCTCCACCAGCAATTCTCAAAGTGAATTTCCTCATCTGTCCCCTAACAAGGAGACAGCACGACTTTCTGGGAGCTCTTCCACCCAGGACATCTGGGATTACACTCACCTATGACAACCTGCTCTGGCGAGGTGGGAGGAGTAAGAGGCATCCCACAGTTACTTGGGTCCTTCACACTCCCAAGGCCCTGCTGCCCAAGCGCAATATGGCCTCCAGCACTGGCAACACTCTGAGGAACTGGAATGTCATTCTGAGAGATCAAAACAAAAGCTGAAGGGTACACCATCCGAACACCACCTGTAAGGAGAGATAACAAGGAGAGAACCAGGCCTGAGAAAAGAGCTCCCACAGGAAGGCCAACTTCGTTACACCAGGGGTCAAAGTCAAAGCTGACCAGGGAAAATGAGGTGTTCAGGAAGTACTGCCAAAAGCGGTGATACCCCATTCTTTCAGAACCCAGTAGGCATTTAAATGTGTCCCAACACAGTAATAGCATTCGGAATACAGGGACCGTCAGCGCTTCAGGCGAGATAACTACTCAGCACATACCAGTATGTCAAGAGAATTAAAAAAGACGGGACAATTACCGAACTTGTTTCTCATGAATCTGAATGATTATCTTTTCAAATTAAGGAAGATGAAGAAGATAGAAAAAAGTTCTTCAGGCAAAATACGTTCCTCTTACCAACAATGACTTCTACTGCCACGGGGAAATCATCATCGTACCCCAACTCCTCTTCCTCTTTCAGTTCCTCTTTCTTTTTCAGCACCATTGGGTAGAAGTACTGCCATTCCTCGATCAACTTGCGAGTGGCTGGGTCTGACATCTTGTACGCTTGGCCTGTTAGCGTGCCATTTAAGCCATAGGGACTCACCAGGACTACGGGAGGTGGGAGTGAAGGAAACACAAGTTTCAGGTCAGAGTCAACATTCCTACTGAAGGGTAACACTACATACATAGGGATTTTTAAAAGTTTCTCATTTTGGTCATTCTTATTATTTATATGGTTTTCAACTCATAGCAGTTTTTGAAGGAAATAAAATAGGAGCCCCTTTGGAACAGTGGTTAAGCTCTGCTTGATAACCCACCAGCCACTCCACGGGAAAGAGATGTGGCAGTCTGCTTCCATAGAGTATAGCCTTGGGAACTCCACAGGGTGGCTCTACTCTGGCCTCTGGGGTTGCTGTGAGTCGACTCGACGGCCAACAGGGTTAGTCTTGGTTTATTACACTATCAGGCAGCTATCTCAACACAAAACAACCCATCAGCACGTGAATACCACGCCTGTCTACTAACAGCTTACACATGTGAACATGAATCCTTCATAAAAATAAAGTCACTTACTACGTGCGCCCCAAAACCTGCAGAACTTGAGCTCTTTTCCCGTGGTTCCTGAGACCGCCTAAAGGTCTTTGGTAATTGAAGGATAATATAGAAATAAAACTGCCAATAGCAGGAAAGTCATAATGTACCAAGCCTAAGACATCACGCTTGGTTATAATTTCCGTCTTGGAGGTCTGCTGATAAAACAACTCAAAGTATCTCTCAGCACCCGAACTTCTCCTGTCTCCCTCTCTCACTGTTTGAACTGGATGGCATTTTCACGGAGCTACACAGAAATACAGTTACCATGGTACCATGAACAACCCAGCCCATTCTTAGCCTCACGGTTAGTACTTCAACCTTCCAAACAGTGAATTTTTTTTCTGAGGGGGGTGTCACATTTACTTAATCCTGATTTAAAAAAAAACCACCTCAGCACAGTCCCTGAACAGGATGTCCTTTATGGTTGATTTTTTTTTTTTTTTTTTTAAGCAACCACACAGTATGTCACAGCAATCGAGACCGAGTGCAGACACCATGTACTCCCTGGTGCCTTTCTGCTGGTCCAACGACCCAAACAGTCTGAGAATGCTGACTCCAACCAACACAGTTACTCAAGGGCAGTTTTCCCGCATTAAGACTTTCAGGAAATTCCGCCATCAATTTGGGTAATTACATTAACTGTAATTATCGAGAGGCCCAGCCCTGCCCTGAGGAGCTGGCTCCTCTACACCTGTCACGGGGAACAAACAGGGTCAGATCCCACAGGTGTTCTATGGTCCGAGGCATAGTGACAGGCCAGGAACAGTTACAGTAAGTGGTCTGCAGAGACCTGACACCCCTAGAAGTCTCTTTTCCCAAACAGGCTAGCTCCCATCCCTCACCACTGGCGATTCCTTCCGGATGACCATAAATGCTCTTCATTTGAAGATGAAGTCTAAGATGAAGTCAGAAAGCCCTCAGCACTTTTACACTCGAAGAAATGTAGTACTTACATAACTCTGAAAATGCCTAACACATACACATTGTACAAGCTTCAAGTGAACAGCCTGAGAATCAGGTTGTTTTGAATTTTATAGCAGTTCATCCATACAACACCCAAAATTACAGAAGGATGAAACACAGCTCAAAAAGCATTACAGAGGGCAGGAAGACCTAGGTAAGAACTATGGAAGAGTGAGGATTCAAGACCCTTTTTTACCTTAAAAAAAAAAAAAAAAAAAAAGGTTAGTTGTCCTTTTGGACAATATGTAGGCTAAACAGTCATATGGCAGGCTGTTATAGTAATAAAAATACTTCAAATTTGTTAAAACAGCAGTGTTTTTAAACATTAACATTCCATCTGATACACTTCTTCAACCAGGCATCTCTAGCACTAATACACTAGACTGAATCAAAAAAGATTTTTCCATATGGTTCAGCCTAATATTTTAACATTTAACAACAGTTACTCATAGAAAATTGTGATTCCCGAAGACAAAAACAAAGATCTAGAATGCACAGTTAGATAAAAAGGGAATGGAGATATTTTTGTGACATCTAGGTGGCAATTAAAGCTAAGATAGTTAAAATATCAGTAGATAAATTACAACCAAATACATATAACCAATGTAATCTATAAAGGAATTAAATCACAATATCAGTATCAGTGAAGATACTAAATTCTACACAATCCTAGAAATGTGATGTTGGTTGAAATTTCAAATGCTAAGTTTAATATCAGTGATCTTTAAGTACAATGTATCATTCCATTCCCGAAACTGTGAACACACAAAACAGTGAAAACCTTTAATTTAGAAGATGTGTCAATTACCCACTGGATAATACTCTTCAAAGACTGGTCCATGTTCTTTTGTTCTGAAGGAAGTTCCCTTCATTTTTTCCTCAATACTTTCTCACTTAAGCCCATGTTGCATGTGTGATGAGCTTCAGCAAAAAGCTAGCAAGCTATTATTTCTCACTCGTGAAAGGGTAGGTTGTGCTTAGCTTTAAAATGCCCCTTTAAGCTAACGCTTCATCCTGTAAGATGGTCTTGGGCAAGGTGGCTACTGCGGAGGCGCTGGAGGCGCGGAGGGCGGAAGGGCGCAGCCAGGTACCTACCTTGGAACGGGGCCGGCGAGGACTGAGCCATGTGTATGTGCTCCTCACTGATCAGATAAATGGGCTGGTGCTGGGCAATCTCCACACTTGTGCAGACATTGCTTTCCCCATGAAGAAAGAATGTGAAAGCACAGGACAAATGCTCACTACAAAGAAAGAATCAAACACTCAACTCTATGTTTTGGTAGGAGACAGGTGCTATCAACAAAAATTACAGGTGACACACAGCTTTACTTTTTCAGCTATCCAGCAAAGCTGACGTCTGATGATATTAATGCCCGAAACTGCTACTGGACTGCAGACAGATAAATGACGATAACTTGTTGACAATTAAACTAAAGCAAAGCTACCAGATAAATATGAAAATCTATTCTGCTGCACGCTGGACCTGGGGAAGCTACTGCGTGCCCGTTCATTCGCAGAGAAGCCATGTCCTCTGCTGCCCATGAACTCCTAAGACAGACTAGTGACCTTCTTCTACCTCACCAGTGTGTAGTACATGACAAGGACTCACACATCTGTTGAATTAAATAAATGACAAAACATTTAAAAAGCTAAAATATAACAAAAGTGGCTTATGAACTAGATAGCAAAGTAATCCTCGAGCTGAGTCTGAATTGGCTTTTAACTTAGTCTTGGGACAAGGACAAACTAGTCCTGCTTATGTTTGGTGCGCACCGACAACCAATGAATACGCTTTCAACATTATAATAAGGTTACAGGAAGGTTTTTACCTACAACTAACAATTAAGGACACTGTATAGAAATATCCATATTTATGCTAACATAAATAGGCGGGTAATCTATCGTATTTAATTTTTACAGTTTACTTCTGATCACAAAATTGTATTAATGTATTCTACTTTTATCTTCCAGAGAAATAAAAAATGAAGAGTCTGGGAGAACAACAGAATGCACTGGGCGTATGCTCTCTGCCCCGCTAGCTCTGGCCCCGAGGCAACCACCTTACATCCCCTGTACCTGGCACAGCACACAGGAACATCTGCCGGATGAAATACTGCAGGGACCAAACTGACTAACCACCACCAGGAAACTACCATTTAAAAATTATCTCCAAGACACTGCTTTTTTTAAAAGTTCTCTAACATATTATAAAATAGGCATTTGAGCACTACTCAAAAGAATTAAATTTTGTCTAAAATAGCTCTGGTGGTATATTGCCTATGGCACTTGACTGGTAACCAGAAGGTTGGCGGTTCAAACCCACCAGCCACTCCTCAGAAGGAAGATGGGACAATCTACTTCCGTAGTGATACAGCCTCGGAAACCCAAGGAGGGGTCGCTATGAGTCGGGTCCAACTCGATGGCACATGACAAAAACAACAAGGAAAAACCGAAATAAAAATGCTAAAATTTAAGTGAATTTGCTCTGTAAATTTTCACCCAAATCACTTTTTTTTTTAAAAAAAAAAAGCTAAAATTTTCACTCTATCACACACAATGAAGTACATATATTCTGCTTTGACAAGTACAGTCACACACCACATAATATCCACACTGGCAACGTCCTACCACCAACCATGTAGACATCTATGGTCCCAACCCCCAAAAGGCCTACTGTATTAAAAATCTGAGGTACATACAATGGTTCATATTAACCAATGGGTGCTACTTGGTGATGCACATCAAAACATTATTAGTGTATTTTTATGTTGAAGATGTTTTAGTGTATTTGAAGTGTTTCCTTAATTTTTTTATACATAGAAATGTATACTATACACTATAAATTAAGACAAATACTTTACTAACTGACATTAGATATGAACTGTAGTGTACTTATCTGTTTCACCTTACGTACAAATCCAATTTAAAGACAGACTTAGCAGTGGAACTGGTTTGTAATCCAGGGAGTGCCTGTATATAGTGTGGTATCCACCTAACGTCCCAATCACGTAACATCCTATTTCACAGAACATATGGTGGACATTAAGAGACACATGAATGTATCTTAAGAAAACTATGTTTTACTAGACTGTGAAATTTCATCAACAGGAAACACCAAGTCTTGTTTTTTGGTTATTCAGCATGACAAAATAAATTCAAGATGATGACTAGAATTTTACAAGAAATTTTAAAACTTTTTCCTTCAACTTGACACCATATTTGTAAGTTTCAAGGTAACAAGGAAAGAAAAATTACGTAACTTAAACATATAAGGATATAAAACAGTATACCACTGATCAAAAAAAAAAAAAAAACACTGTTCTTTATTTATGAAAATAACCCTAGAAACCCACCATCATCAACACACACACATTATGCCTGACACACAATGGGACCAAAACACAGGACTACTGATGGTGGGTTGGTTAATTTTCCAGCCGTAAATTTCAGCTTTAGAGTTTGAACTGACTCATCCTGATTCATGGCCACCGTCCACTGTCATCAACAGCATATTTACAAGACAACTGGTTGGGGTGACAGATGTAGCTGTAGCCGCAGAATGTGTTCTCTATTCTGCAGACTCCCAACTGTGCATAAAAACACAAATGCACCCAACATTCACCTGTCAACTAGTAAGTGCAGAGAATGGCGCAAAGAGCCTAGCGCAACACTGAATAAAAACATGATCCTTGCCCTCAAGGAGCATATACACCAGCAAGAGACTGGAATGAAAACATACCTTTAAGTCAAGCCAACTCATCTACTGCCATCACATCAATTCCAACTCATAGTGACCCTATGTGACAGACTGGGGTTTCCAGAGCTATAAATCTTTATGGAAGCAGACCACTTCACATCTTTCTCTCATGGAGCAGCTGGCGGGTTTGAACTGCCAACCTTCTGATTAGCAGCCGAGTGCTTTAACCACTGTGGCACTAGAGTTCCCTCTCTAAAACAAAGCCAGGCATAGGTGCAGAGACTTCTGTAATGTGAAGGACCCAAATGCTTCAAGACAAGAACTGAAAAACAAGATTTCAGTAATAGAAGGAATAGAGAAGGTAAAGAGAGAGGATGCGGCCAAGACTAAGCCCAACCCAACCCACTGTCCTCGAGTTGATTCCAACTCATAGGGACCCCCTGGGGGTTTCCCAAGTGCTCAATCTTTACGGAAGTCCGTGGACTGGCTGGTGGGTTTGAACCATCAACCTTCTGGTTAGCAGTCAGATGCCTTAGGCACTGTGCCACCAGAGTGAAGAGCAGGATGATATCTGAAGTTCTACAAGGAGGAGTGGAGGGAGTCAGAAGCTACACCCTGAGACAACAGAAAAGACTTGTACTGAGAGGTAACAGGGAGCCCATTTAAAGTCTGGTTTAAGAAACTCAGCTGAAAATAAAGAATTATGAAAATTTCAAAACAGTACTCACTGGAATTTGGTATATTTTTAAAAAAAAGAGGCAAGTTTAGAAAAATGCCCCAAAGAGAAGCACAAATAAAAAGGCAGTAACCAAATCAATGTCTTTTTTTTTTTTTTTGCATTGTTAAGTTTAAAAACAAAATGTCAAAGACAGTTAAAACAAGGCAAATAGCAAGTTATAATGGAAATCTAACAGGTCCTTCAGTAGTTAATCTGATCCTTGGCAACTTTCTTCACCTTTATGACGGTAATTCCTTAATACGTAAAACCAGCTGTTAAGCACAAACAGCTGGGTCTCCCAAAGGCTCTGATCCAGGATGCCGGAGGCAAACCCTCCAAATTTACATTTCTGACAAGTTCCCAGGTAATGTGGCAGCCACTCCGGGCCCAGGAACCTCACGCTTGAAGAGCCGCCAGGCTTGACAGTGTCTAGATTACTTTCCAGCTATAAAATTACTGTTTTTTCTCAGATTATGTCAAATAAGAGAACAAGGATGACAATAATGACTTCAAAGAGTAGAATTTCCCCTTTCATCTTACAATGCTACCTTCTAGGAATTTATCCCACAAACTCCTGAGTTTAAAATAAAAAACAAAAGCTATGTACAAAGTTACTGACGACAGCACTGTCCGTAATAGTTAAGAATGAAAGCAGGCAAAATGCCCGTCAACAGAGGACTATGGACTTACAAGAGAAACGGCTCTTTTACATACTGATATGGGAAAACCTCCAACATAAACTGTTATGAGAAAAAAAGCAAGATATAAAACAGTGTGAATAATATGCCCTGTTTGTATAAAAATGGGGACACGAGGGGAGAAAAATAGACACTCACAGAATTTGATTACACTGGCATAAAAGTCTCTGGAGAGATGCACTTTAAAAGCCCAATAATACCGATTGCTTTTGTAGAGTGAAGCAGCATGGCTGAGGGAGAGAGAAAATCCCCCATCCTCTGATCCTGGCTGAGTGGGGGCCCACGCGCTGCACAGAAAGGAACGGCAGCGCGATCTGAAGCAGCCCTGCCCCCTGTCCCTGGGCAGGGTGCTCGCTGGCCCGACCTGAGGCGTGCACTCCCGGAATGCTTCCGCCTGTCACTCGGGGCCCTTCGTGGCATCCCACTGAGATTATCTTTGATCTTGAATCTCTTATCCAACATATTGGCTATGTGATCAGCAAGCCGTGAATATCCTTACATCCATGTCATTGCTACAAAAACCATGAGAAAGACTACTCTGGGTATAGTTCCTGGATCATTTTATCAGAGAAGTCACGACTTACATGTTCACCTGTGCCTGTCTACAAGGGATAATCAAAAAGGTTATGTCCAATATCACAATGAAATACACCTTTCTTTCAACTAGAAACCTGCCCACAAGTCCAATACAGGTAGTGTGATTCAGAGGCCAAGTTCCCTTCTTTTACAGCTGAGAAAACAGAGCTAGAGAGAGGCAGACTGGCCCAAAGCCTTTTCTAGAGGCACAAGTCCAAATTTAAGACAGTCCATCTATAAATAAGGGTATTTACTTTGATCTCTACCCACTTATATTCTGTATAGGTAAACGAGGATCAGATGATGAGTGAACACTGAAAAGGGGGGCTCTAGAGGCACAACTACAGACATGTTATGCCTTACACTGCTACTGGAGAGTCAAGAAGTAAACCTCTTCCTTAGAGCTCCCAGACCTGTTCTGGCTCCTCCTCACCCATCACCCACCCTTACCTGAACCTTTAATCTCTCAACACCACCTATTTCATTAACATTCACTGTTTTAGAATTGAAAAGAGCTTTTTATTGAAAGCTGATCTCACTGAACTCCTTTTT